TTTTTTTTGATTTTTTAAATGATAGAATATAGAATAGTTAAAAATAGAATAGTTAGGTTAAAATCTGACATTCAAGTAAAAATAACTTTTAAAAAACAATATGAAGGCGAACTWCCACGGAGAAGCGTGTTGCCGAGTAGCGAGTTTTACCACAGGAAGCCCATACAAGCTTTGAGAACTGAATATAATTTTAACGAAAAACAATAGTAAAAGCGAATATTTACTCACATGAAGTGTTGTTTACGTCGCCCTTGTTCTTTAGTAGTGATTTCGAGCCATTTTAGCGATTTTTTAAGAACAATTCCCTTCCCCTCATTTCATAGCTATCGTAACAGGAAGTGCAATATTTCAATCCAAGATTGCAACGGAAAGAAATAGCGAACGAGATTTGGAGCACGTCTAGGAGGGRGGGGGTTGGGATTTAACTAATTTTCTACAACTGACAAAACCCGACTGTAAAATTCAGTTCTATTTTTCAATTATATCATTACAAACTACATCTAAAGGTAGTTTTTGATTTRGTTTTTAATGAGATATGAAGTTTTAACCTTAAAAATGTGAATCGAGGAAAATACCAACGTAAATAACATTGTTTTTACATTTGAAAGGYATTTCAGTGGTTTATGTAAAAAATCTGCCGCAAGATGGATACGTTTTTTCTGTGATGGAAAGAAAATTACACAAATTAGTCTTATCTATGTTCAGTGAAAGTCGATTACTTGAAAACCCTTTCAAATTATAGAACATAATATTCTGGAAATTGTTTTGATGAGGTACTTTCGTAAATAGCATTGATGGTTTCTGGTAAAAAGGACCCATTTTCCTCTATCCATCAGAAAAGAAAATAATTTCGAAAGTCATGTATATTTTTTWAAACAGAACATGTAAGTGTGCGAGCACTAGCTCTATATACATAACCAAGTCAATCTCAGCACACGCATAAGAGAAACATTGCATCGTTTCTGCCTTGCTGTATTTTTTGATGYACTTTTATATTCTAGTTAAGATTTGAAGAAGAAATGAGAGCACAGCAAAAAGCCAGACTTCAACCAGAAACAAGAGTTCAGCGAGAACAGAAGGATGATCTTTTTGATGCAATTAGAAGATGTGACTTAGAGCACATAAAGAAGCTGAAAGAACGATTTTCATTTAAAGATATTAGAGACAATGTAAGTAATGTTTCAAATACGAGTTGTTGTATTCTATTGGGGTTTCAAAATTCGAGTGGAATTTCAAATGCTGAGGCGTAAACGAGGATTTTGAAACCCTAATAAAATACAGAGACGAGTATTTGACACGACATCTTATACTCTTTTTGTTATGTTTGTTTTTATTTCAAAGTTCTACTACTTTGAAATATTTCAAAGTCCGAGTAGTAGGACTTAAAAATATTTCAAAGTACTAGAACTTTGAAATGGGTGCGGTCGTATTTGATAGGGGTT